GTGATAGCCTGATTTCTGGTAAATGATAGTTGTAATTAGTGACAATCGATAGAATACAACTGCAACAGGCTAATCATTTCATTGGCAGAAAACATTAACATTTTGTGAAGGCCGTCGTCACTTGTGGTGCATGGTCTGCACCCGACACTTTCTCGCTTTTTGAAGGGGAGGGTACACAGACAAGATATCCTTTCGTATATGCTTCCTTTGTTAGGCGCCAGAATTTTGCAAGCAACATGTCGTACCAGCTGGCAGACAATTATGTTGAGGAAGGCGGCAAACAGCAGATTTTTATGAGTCTCAAATGATCCTCACCACGTAATTCCTGAGTAGTTCTAACTGTGAGCGAGCTCATTCACGACGCAACTCTTGAACGGTCTCCATCCCCACGGCTTATCCAATCGGCCCTAAAATAGATTGAAAAGTAATGTAGAACAATGTGGATCTGTTAGAACCCCCATAAATGGCACTCCTATCCGAATTTGGCTGCCAGTAGTGGTGAGTTGGCATTTACGAGCATGATTACCGCAATTTTCACACGCCACTGGAATGTCTCGAAAAAACCCAACCAGAACTGCCATGGTAGATCATAACTGAGGAAGTGTAGTCGAACAATTTACAAGCAGTGTTATCCTATCTCGATGACTTTCGATACTGTTACGATGTATCTTTGAGTGACGCTTCAAAATAATGAGATGAAGGTTCGTTCGAATCCACTATCACACAAGTGCAATTCGTTGCTGATTCATGGCAGACAGATTGATTTAAAATCATATTTCGGCATTCTGCACAGCACTAAAGTAAATTATGTGAGCAAAAACAGTATTCAATTGAGAAGCGTGTGAACATAGACATTACGGTGCTTGCACTCTCTAGCTACCACTTTTGCCCAACGATTTACTGTAATGCTGTGGGCTTATTACTGCTTAACACATTGCGGACCGCCCGTTATGCGAGGATCTCCATACCTTTTTCTGTTTTTTGAAAATGCATCATTAATTCAACAATTTTATCAGTGATGATACTTATTGTTTCCTGGCTCTGAAAATGAGTGCAAACAGTTCAGGAGCATTGAAAAATGCCAAATAAATCAGATAAAACTATGATCTTTCGCTTGAAATCGTGCGCCACATGGTAATGCGCGCGGTACGCAATGTGTTAATTTTATGAGCACGAGGCGGGATGTGGAAGCAGCCTTAAGAATTTGACGCAATGAACGAAAAATTACATTAATGTCCTACGCCCAGTTGAGCGTAATGCTCCGAAATCCCGAAAAGGAGCAGGAGTCGAAGAGGGGAATGTGAGGTATCATTGCTGCCAAAGAGGCCTTAGTATGGCCCCATTCATATCTCGCAACTTGTCCATTTCGAGATTCGGCGACCTGGCGATCATTATGAAAAGAATGCTTCAGTGTCGACTGCAGGATCGTCGATGCATCGCGTCGATGAACGACCATAGAGCGGTCTTAACCCTTTTGACGACAATGCGGATTTGCACGTAGCTTGCTCATGGGACCACGCCTCTTTTTGGCGCGCCCAACTCTCGCTCACAATTGGGCAAAATTGTCCCTCAAAGCAGTTTTTCTATAGAATTTTGACTTTAACAGTATACCAGATATAACTGCAGTTCTAGGCTTTCATACTGTATATTGTTTTCAAGAGAATTCCAAATTTGGAAGGGGAACTCGGGTTTTAAAGGGAAGGAGGGCAAAACCTAAAAGTTTAGTGTCCAAGAGAATTTTCGATACACTTCAAACCCCTTCCCATATCTGAGGGCTATGAGAAGACGAAGAAGTCCTGATTAGTAATTAATCTTCGGCCTAATAATAAAACCCCAATTAATATGGCTGGCGAGCTAAATGGCACATTCTAAAATTCTATATAAATTAGCTCTTAGTAAACATTTCTGTAAGCCGTGCTAGCCATAGATATTATGGAACTTGCTTATAATTTTGGGTGTTACAAATGTTTTAAATGTACAAGAAGGAAATTATAAGGTTGGGACCCACCATTGGGTGTCATTGTCCCACGCGGTGAACATAGTGGCACCCACCGTGGGTGCGACTGTCGTCAAAGTTTTAAAACCACCAATGTGCACCTAACCCTTCCACCAGAATCGCCGAATCTCGAAATCGCTAGATAGCATAAATTTTCGAATCATAACGTAGTTTTTTCGAGAGAATCGCTGAGTCGCACAAGTTGCGTATGATGAACGGGGCTTAACAATGCTAGGAGGCCACCAGGGTTTGCGGGCCCGCCTTGATACCACGTCCACCCACCTGTATTCACGCGACCGCTGTACGCGTCTCGCTTCTCTCTCGTCGTCTTTTCCTTATCCCTCATCTCTCCTTCGCCGCTCTTTTCCTTATGGTATAGATTCTCCCATATCCCATAAATGACACACTTATTTTTGATCTTTTGGTGGTTTAATTGCCCTTTTTCTTCATTGACCATCCACTTCGCATTAGTTTATTCCAGACGCAATGACTATGCCTACGGAGACCATGGGATGTGCCCTTGAATATCTACGTGAGAGGCCTGTTTCTGCAAATCGCTCAGATAAGATCGCCAAAGCAGTTCAATTCTATTTATTCAAGTGTGTGATCACTAATGTTGTTACAAAAATGACCAGCATTCTATGAAATGTTATATTGAATGAATCACCTTCAGTCCTCTGTGAAGACGATCATTCATGACAGCCAAAAACTCGGGATAACTCAGTGTTTGGTCATTATTAGCGTCGAAGATTCGGTATATGAGATCTACAACGTATGGATCCAAAGGTTCACCTGAATAAAAAAATCTCAAACAAAAAGAATCAACGAATTAATCACATCAGTCAATCTGCCTTGAACTATTTGTGTTTTTATATAAAAAGATGATGATGAGACAGATGTGTGGTGGCAATCAAAACAAAACATCTGCGCACACCAAGCACTCCGTCCACAGTAGCTTTGCTGCAGGCGTCTATCATCCCACCAATTACCACTGAACAAGCAGTTTTGAATTTTATCAGCCCTAACTTGCGCAACAATACTTTCGAACTTGGTTACCCAAAAAGAACTGCTACGACTGTCATGCGAGATCGCTTATATTCGTTTCTGACGGTTACGTCGCCGATCATGAAACGTCTTCAGAAACTGGGGAGAGAACTTCAAGTGCCCTTTCAGTCGTGATAAATCTTCCACGACACACAAAAGGTGCAGTAAGTGAACAAACTTGATACTTTTGGAACAAACTATGGCTGGTGTCAGAGTCCGCGATCCGTCGCAGGTTTCGCTGATTTCAGCGATTTTCGCGATTTCGCGATTTGCGCGAAACCTGCGATGGATCACAGGAGTTGGAAGTGCCCGATGAATACTGCGAGGTGTTGTTTAATCCTGCTGCGAATTCTGCTTGACAGTAAAGATTGAAAGACGATGTTCGTGATTCTACTTGTTTCATGTTCAATGTCTATCAGTTCATTGAAATGCTCATGATTCGTTCCTATTCTATCCTAATTCTAGATTCTATAATATCAAACAAGTGGAATCATGAGGGCAGTCGTCATTCAGCCATCACTATCAAGCAGAAGTGGTCGGCGGCATTTAGACACTCCTTGTGCAGTATTGATGCGGGCTTTGGATACGTGACCCGTACGCAAATCGGAAATCGCGAAAATCGCTGAAATCAGCAAAACCTGCGACGGATCGCGGACTCTGACACCCAAAGAATTGCGCTACGTGCCTTATGACAGTCTTCGATCGATATTACTGCGTGAGACTCAGTGAGGTCTAATTTGCATATTACTAACAGGGCATGAGCCGAATGATCCGCAGAACTGGTGGAACATTTGGTGAGTTCGCTATCGTATTGGGTGATTTCGAGGTGTTTCTCAACACGACGTCGGAAACGCTAGAAGTGGGGAGGTGCTTGGTCGGGTAGATTACAAGATCAAAAAGCTTCGAGCTATCTTCAGGCCTCTGAAGAAGACGAGAAGGTCGAAACGTCAGGCCTTAATAAAAGGTTCCATTTATCAACCTCGTGTGGCACAGAAGAATTTAACAATTCGACCAATAATGCCGAGATTCTAACAAGGGACAACGTGGAGACTATTGCAAAAGCGCTCATGGTCAAGTAGCAGACCACTGCCTTTTCGCATTCACAATAAGGCTTACAATTAGGTGTTGTAGACACTACCATCATGCACAATATTATAAGGAAGAATAGTGATGAATCGATTGTCGGCTGTGAAATGTGTACCAAAGGAATGCAAAAATTCAAAGGAGACAATAGCATTAAGGATAAAAAGCTCGAGTCAGGCTCTATCCTAATTCTCTTCTTTTTTCTTTACTTCCTTTAAATCTAGTTTTGCTGATGACATGAATAATTGAGCGGATTTATATCCTTTCCCAATCCTTATGATTACGCATGCTATTTTAAGAAAGAACACCACATTTACCGATGGTGGTTTGAACAGCCCTTGCAAATTCCGGAGGTGAAACTGGCATGTTCGCATTCGCGTACAGTCGAACTGCCGTGCTGAACTCTTCGAGATCGTTCAAGAAGAGTGAGAAGCTAGCCCACTGACTGAGAGTGACACCCTAAAACAACTATTGAAGGGCGGCATTTCATCTGGAATTTCTGAGTGCACCTTGTCATCAGGACTTGTGCGTTCTTTTACGCGATGAATGTATTTGTGATAGTCGTCCTTGTGAACAATAGTATACCTGAAACAGTGGAAACAAGTAAGGACACCAACGTAAATTGTAACGGCGTAAATTTGCTGAATCTTCATCTCCAGATTTCATTCCACTTCAGAAACCGGCTAAAACCTTGATTGGAAGATAAGGCAAAATGGCAAATGATCACCAATGGTTACCTTAGGATAAGGCGAGCAAAATCCATTGGAGAGATGGTCGATTTGCCACGTGCGAACTCATGGAACTCAATTTCCATAATTTCCTCTTGCAGGTTCTGGTAAAATCTTTAAAGAGACCATACATAACTCAGGAAAGCAGAAGGAGCTTTCAACAAGAAAAGAATACTTTCTGAACTCGTTGAATGACAATTTGCCACTTCCACTGTGACCGAAAAGATGCAACAACAAAGTGGTGTCCTGCTTCTTCACCTCTTCTTCGCTTTTCTAAACAAAAAAATCTCAAGCAAGAAAGCTAAAGGTAAAACAAAGACACACGACATTCTCGAAGTTTAAAATGTTAATGCCTAGTTACTTTCCGTTGTGAGGCAAGTAATATATGATAGAAATGAACCAACGGGAACGAGACAAGTTCCGTACAGCTGAGCAGTGCGCGCAGCAAACATTTTAGAGATCTGCAAATGGTTAGTACGTTAAAATACTGTGAAAGCTTCTTTGTACAAAGCAAAGACCGAAAAAATTTAAATCGGATTTTCTGTGAGGTTGAAAAGCAGAAATATAAAGGAAAAGTACATGCACACAAGTGAAGAATATGCAACATATTTACTGAAATATTCTTACTTAGTTATATAGTACCCTCCGGATACGACTTCGTAGCTTGCACAATAGAAATGTTTTTAAATGTGCGATGAATTCTTGAACTAGTGCACTGGCCTCCTTCGACTCTTTTCCTTCATCTCCCTCATGGTCAGCTCACATATTTACTTGACCGAAACTATGGCGAGTGTAAAAGAATATGTACTAGAAGTACTATTTATTTTAATATTTTCTCAGCATTTAAGTTAATCTTCTTGATCAAAAATTTGGTAAACCTCGGTTAAGAAACTTGCCCACCATTTAATATTTGTCCTGGTCGGATTAAAACTTGTTTCGATTTTGTGGTGACCAGAAAAAATCGAGGGTAAGAACTAGCCAACTCAGATACTTTTCATAGTAAAGCAATAACGCAAAATATACCCTTAGAACAAAATTATGTGATATATGTATAATTCCCAAAGTATACCATACCACGCCGCGCAACTGCTTCCAAAACAAAGAAATCTAAAATACGAAATTGATTGTGCATTCGAGATTCTGATCTTGCTAGGAGTGTTTCTACTCCTCATGGAACTTTGAACAGAGACCTAGTTAAATCGATAGACTGGGATGATGGTTACAAATGTTGAAGATCAGAAGCGCTTCGTGAACCTGTCAAGGAAGTTGTTGGCGGTCCAAGTGGTCCCAAGTTGGACTCCCCATGATGCAAAACTTTGCATTCTGGATTGGCACGCTTCCAGATTTGTGCCAAATGGCGCCTGCGCTAAGAATAGATATCATTTTCGTGATTAGGGTCACCAGGATCCCTTACAGAACCTTTACCAAATGTCTATACAAACGCTGCACTAATAGAAAACTGATCGCACACAAATACCTCGGCAAGTTCGCGTAGCAGTTTTACTTATCATATATGCAATCAGCATTTTAGGTCTTATCGACGTACTTACGTATCACTTCAAAATTTCATAGCAGCTTGAAACAATTCCTTGGTTAGCAAGAGCATTTAAGTGAAACCGCTGTCACAATCTAGACTTTTTGAGTAAGTTGCAATTAGGAAAAAACCATGAGTAAGACGTGTTTTCAACAATGTATAAATGTATTATGTTGCCCCAGGATCAGCATATTTTCTCGTGTAATTTGATTTAGTATTATCTTCAGCAGTACACACTACATCAAGACAACTGCAAAACAATGATGTACAACAATTATAACGCACAGCCAACAACACTGAGTAGTGACAAAACAAGCGTGCAAGTTTTTCAAAGATTTCAGATGACGAGGCAAGGCGTGGGAAAATTCGCAGTTGAAAGTCGAACACAACACGCTCTTCTCCTCTGTACGGAACCGAATTAGGCCGACGTCATACTTTGCGATTCGATTAGCGATTCGCTCGATTCGCTAGCGAATTGCATCGCATCGCAAAGTATGACGTCAGCCTCATGAAATTAACGAAATCGAAGAACTACCAAAAAGAAAAATGAGGACATCATATTGGTTGTCAGAAAGTTTTGCAACTCTACAACTGCGTTTACTGCCTCACAGAGCACTGACTTCATTCCTTTCTTCTGATTTTCATTTTTTCAATTTTTTAACTTCTCGTCGTCGTCATGTATCTCACATTCTTCTATTATATATCCGTCTATGCATACCCTATCCTTCGCTCAGGCCGATGCCAGACTTTGCAACTAGTGACTCGCTAGATTACTAGCGAACCGAGTGATTTGTTGGTCGCGACGCGACCGCAAACGCTAGCGAATAGCTCGATTCACAAAGTCTCACATCGGCCTCACACGCCTACCATGATTCTTGCTCCAACTCGCTCCTACTCTTTCGTCACGATCCCATCTCTTACACACTCTCCTGCCTAGTTGCCACTTTCTTCCAAGTCATTTCTTGCAGGAAGCACTAGCAACTATGCACTTGGAATTGCAAAGGTGGTTAATGAATTTGATGAAAGAAAGCTCACACGTATGCTGTTAAAATAATTGAAAACGTAATGAAAGTAATTTAGAATTCAAAAGAAACATCAGCTCTACGAAACCGTCAATCGTAAACATTGCAAAACTTTCTGACATCCTAATATGCTTGCGCAGGCACCTTTTTCACTTAATGGTGGTGACTTAACACTTGGTGGAAAATATCTAACACCAAAGGTAGTGACTTTTCGTTTGCAGCAGTAAAAATGCCTTCAGTGTGGGAACCAACACTAAAAAATCACTTGCGATACTAAGCTCCCCATACAGTCGTTGAAATCGAACTAATATGGTCCACCCCTTTCAGCAAGGAAGGTAGGATTGAAATTATGAAAGGATCCCATAGTTTCAACAGTTGCTCGATGACACTCAATCGGAGCAATACTCTGGCACAGCCGGCAATACTAAGACTTTCAAATTTGTAGAGAATACGTAAATGAAACCAAAATAATGTACAAGATCTTACACTAAAAAGAAGGGTGTACGAATCAGATCCTGTGCTAAGTCGAAGAGGGCGTAATATCGAGAAATGAAAATCGCCCATGTCCAACTGGCATGACTGGAAAATGGGAAACTTGGTGGACCTTCAAACTTGCAAAAAACAAGACGATATATTCAAGTGTAGTGAACAAAACGCCAAGAACCTACATCATCTGACTGCTTCGTTTGGGTACCGCGAGTGGAACGCAGGGAAGTCATCAGACCACGAATCTGAATTGACTGGCTACTTTTTTGTGTTTTTTCCTATCTTTTTGAAATGGCCGAAGATGATCCGATCTATCGCGAGAGCTACGCGAGATCAGGGTCTAATTCATATCTAGTTGCACATATTATAGATATGCATATAAAGCCAACAAAAGTGACCAAATTCAGAACAAGAAAAGTGAAGCCATGTTAATTCGGGTTCGTGAGCTCTTCAACACCACTCTTTGAAGCTCTTGTATACCGAAAGCGTCATCGGACACCTCGGAAACCACAACGAACGCAACATACTCAAAGAATCACCACAAGCAGCACATTGAAACTAAATGAAATACGACACTAATCGAGCATAACTTATAAGAGAGTTAAGCAATAATTGAAAGTTTTTTTAACCACCCACTTGTTATGAGATCGGCAACATTAACCACCGCGTAGGCCGCGGTCATAGTTCGCGATCGACCTGCAGTTCCTTTTGCAGTTGGACTGTTGAGTATATACGTATTGACCATACACAATTGCACGATCGCATGGTCAATACGCATCTACCTTGAAAATCGCAAAGTCAGAAACTATGGCCGCGACCACACCTTGGCTATTCAAGGTTTTCAAGGGCATCACCCATATTTGAAAAAAATTCCATTCTACTTGTTAGACTATCGCCGGTTAGATAAACGCCATGCGCAATTCCAAACTGACTATTGAACAGAAATTCCCAAGACTCAGTTTTTACATTACCTCAATTGTATGGCAAGAAATAAAAAGCTCCCCGCGAACCACTTCATAATTCACCTTTACCGCTAACGACTGGCCTTTTCGATTATTCATAACTTAACCGCTAGCATTACATTGCTTTTCCTTCCATAAGTATGTTTCTTTCTGATAAGGAAGACACAATAAATTAAAGAAAACTCCTACCATTAAAAATTCGTCCTTGTCAATTCTCCCATTGTCGTCTTTGTCAAACATTAAGAAGGCTATTTTGAAGGAAGATTTTGATTCTGAAATGAATCTAAGTGAGAAGTGAGCTTAATTGCAAGACCTCAATTACAAGACACCCTTCAAGAACAACTCTCATAATAATAGCATACTTGAAACAATGATTATTTGTTTATTTATTTATTTAATGTACACTACACGAGTGCGCCTAAGAAAGAAAACATTGGATCTGATCACATGAATTATAGCACATAACAAAGATTAGGGCGGAAGTGGTGTAGTGGCAAGTGGCACGCTTACCACGCGAGCGGTCCGGGGATCAAATCCTGGGTCGTGAGTCGCCCGGGCCAACCAAGCCTTCCATCCGGGGTCGGTTAATTGGTACCAGACTTGTCTGGGAGGATAAAAACACTGACTTGTACATCGGCTGGCCCCCGCAAGTCATTGTATAGGCCACATCGCATTCAAACGCCACTACGAATGTACAAATGGAAGTAGAATGCGTGCCGCATCCCAAAAAGGGATTGATCAACGGCAAATGCTTTATCCTTTTTTGCTTTAACCAAAGATTAACTTCGCCATCTTACTTACTATAAAGCGCTTCGTCTGTCGTTCTGTATGTCTGTCACGAAATTCCCTAGCTCCTCGGGATCCGCCTGGAGGGACCGGGTCAAGTGTGGGATGGGTGGGCAAGGTCTCACGAAGTACAAAACACACATCAGCTAAGCGGAGCCCCGCCCACAGTGGGCGTGGCGTGCATCGAAATGAGTGCACTGACGACCTAGGATTTCGATCTATACCAAAACAGCCTCGAAACTAAGGGAACCCACCCCCTACAGGCGGGGCGTTCTCCAAAAAAGCAGTGCTTATGAAAAAAATTCATAACTCGGTTTGGGAGAAAGCCTACAGAGCAGAAAACAAATTGGTGTAGGGAGCAATGTCTAAGGTTTCCCAGCATACATGACGTGGGCGGAGGCCCGCCCACAATGGGCGGAGCGCGCTCTGAAGTGTACAGCATTTTCTACAAGTCCTCATAATTCGGGCAGAAGTCTTAGGGAGCCGGAAAAAGGTGGATAGAGGATGGGTGGAGGAGTGGAGGTCAACCGTCGTGGGGGGGGGGCAGGGCATGACCAAAGTGGGCGGAGTTCGCGATGAAAACCTAAAACTCGGTTTCAAGAAACGGTGGATAGAGGTGGATGAGGGAGTGGAGCCCAACTGTTGTTGGTGGGTGGGGCATGTCTAAAGTGGAAGGAGTTGTCCACGAAATTTTGTAACATGGCTTCAAGTAGTCCTGAAGATCGGGAAAAAGCTAGCTGAAACGGGAGGGAGGTCAAGCGTGCTGTTGGTGGGTTGGGCATGCAACAGGGTGGGCGGAGCTCGCCAGATTCATAAATCGGTTCCAGGAATTCCCAGAGCTCGGGTAAAAAGTGGAGAGATTGGCGAGGAAAAAAGATAGGTGGGACATGCAACGAGTTACCACAGGATTTATAAATCGGTCCAGGGCAGTCCATGACTGGAAAAAGCGGACAATTGGTTGACGAAGAAGGGAAGGTCAAAAGCCAGGTGGATGGAGCATGGGACAATCGGATAGAATTCAGCTTGAAAGTCAAATATTCGAAGTGTATTGGGCCAAATTCGAGAATTTACGCCGCACCATCCCATATCGCCGCAGAACTGTGCTGTGCGCGCAACGCGTGCGGCGCCAACTAGTTAAAAAGTTCCCACCTGTTTCACACATTTGAAATGCGTGGATGTTTCTCAAAAAATCGGCTGCTGTTTCTGTGAATATATTGCGGGCTGATTGAACTGTTTCATCTATCCATACATGAAAATCCACTACATATCTCGAAGAATGAGTAGGTGTGTCACCGGAAATGAGGTGGCAGCCGCCGTACTTGACAGTACTTGATAGAAGTTGCGTGCATAAGCTGCTGCTGCCTGCCTTGCTTATTTCGAGCGAAGTATGTTAGAAGCGGCTTATCTGCGCGAATTCTATCAAGTGTGGCGGTTACCGTCATGTACGTAGACCCGCCTTATCAGACGGTCTGATATGAACTGTAAACCAGTGAGTACGCTAGATCACTCCGAAACATTTCACAAGTAATCCAAATGACGACTGTCAATAAAACTTCATTTGTCACTGAGGTTGATGAAGAAATGACCCTAAGCAAGATCAAACCTCTCTCGATAAGATCGCTGAGAGTTATGCGATTTCACCAAAAATATATATTTCTCTCCTCGGGAGGTTTTTGTATGTTTTTAAGAGTCTATCACTATTTCAGTAAAGCAACTGTGAACTATAGAAGTAACAACTTGGGAGAAACGCATGTAAACAGAATGCCATATCTATCTATCGTGCGTGCGCGAAAGAAGTGATATTGATGAGCAAAAACAACAAACTTGTTATTAGCGTGAGCAGGAAAATGTATTCCGAGTAGGAAATTATGCCATTTTGATCGAGTGAGCGAAACAACTCGTTGCTTCCAGAGCGGAAAGGTGGAGTATTCTTGAGCATCTGCTTTAAATCCTTTTCCTTCAGCACTCTTCTATACACGCGCTCTGAATGAAGAAAAAAATAATGAACACTATTAAAACTAGACAAAGATTTTTTATTTGTCAAACTCCTTGTGATATTCTGCCTAAAACGAAATATAAAACCGCCAACGGAGTTAGACTCTGCGAATCGAGGTGACCACACAGCGCAGGGTAGAACCGAACAAAGTAGATGTCAAAAACTAGAGGTCAAAACAGACCACCTAAACGAAGAAAGACTACGATGGGGAACTGCACTTGACAGAGGCGCTCCTAGCTAGTCATACAATTCACATTCTCCGACGTTGCCTACGTCAGAGAGTCATAACAAGGTTCGTAAGACGGAAAAATCTATTCATGAAGTGTGGCAAGCCAACGGGCAGCCGACACCTGCAAGCGATCGGACTATGTATTCTGCGAACAGCTATGAGGACCAAGCAAGACGCTTCGAAAACCTCTGCTAAATTGAAGCATATATAATACAGTGAATGGTATGGGAATTTGGGAAACCCCCTGGGAAATTACTAATGTACGGTCAACCCTTCTTCCTCCCTGTAGGTACGTTACTAATGATTCGAACGACGGTCTAACTAGTGAATACCAAACTAGGCACTGGAATGGCGATTGATAAAGCACTGCTTTACCCCCGCGTGAACTTGTGACGAGAATCGAACGATACTTAAATTTAATAGGTACAATGGTCGAAATAAGAAGAACAACAGCAAACCTCGTGGTGCATCCAACGTAAGAGAATCGATAAAGTCCATAGGACTCATGTAGATGACGTCATCATATTCAATAGAAGCGAACTGTAGAAATCGTAGTTCACGCCTCGTTAATTTGTGATCCGTGTGAACTTGGTAACGAGAATTGTCGTCTCTTGCTGTAATGGAAAGTGTAAGAGAGGTGAATGGATATGATCAACTGTGAGAGGACAGAAAACAGAGGACAAGGTTGTTCAACACAAATACTTGAGGAATGAGGAAACTGAATGGTCATGATGAAAAGTAGAAAAAGTTGTGAATACAGAAAGGGTTTCGAAACTATTGCTACGCGTGATTTTAAAGTTGTTCCAATTCGCTAATTTCCGGTAGACAAAGCCCGCGCCGATATCACGTAAAAACACCTCCGCTGGTGCAGTGCACTTGCGCACATCTAAAGACAACCGTAACATGCCCAACTAAATAAATGATCGAGGTAACTCGATATGCTGATTATGAAAACGACATTTATTTTTAGTGTTGACGCCATTTGGCGTCACCTTGTCATGACCATTCTTTCCTTAAAAATCGGTGTAAACTTCTGCATAAGGGTTATTCTGTGCCCTGATCACAAATATGACATTCGTTTTTTTTTTCACTGACGTTGTTCAACGCAATTTTCCCGGCTGGGGAGTGCAGACGAGCAGGAAATAGGCGCCAAATGCCGAGAACGAATGTCATATTCGTAATCAGAACACCAAATGACTCCCATACGAAAGTTTACACCAAATTTATGAAAAGAGGTGTCGTGATAAAAGGACGCCAGCTGGCGCCACCGCTAAAAATGAAGGTCATTCTCGCAATAAGGGCATTGGATTACCCCTGTGGTAAATTTACAGTAGCTTCTAAGGCGTGCAAAATTACACTGCATGAGCGGAGGTGTACTTACGTGAAACCGGCGCGGGGCTCATCTACCGGAAGTATTTATTTATTTTGGAGTGACATAATCACACAGGTGACGACCACTTATTTGAAACGAATCACTATACATTCGTTTTAAACCACTTACTTTAAAACGAATGTATATAACGATGGCAGTGTAGTTTAAAGTAGATAAATCACGTTCTACTCAGGCATTTCTAAAAATGAAATACGCGGTGGAATGGTACACTTGGTAGCTCTACAGTTACTTTACCAGGTTACACATAAACTCTGCCCCAAACACACGGTTGACGGACTACTTGAACTCAGCCCTTTACCGCCTCTGCGCTCTCTAGCGGGTCCCTCTCCTCTCCAAGGCTTAGTCCTAGGGCATTCTCTAGTCGTCTGTGCTCTAGCCATCGCGGCAGGACCATTGAGGAAAAATCAAGTAGTCCGTAAACCCAAACCACATCGGCTGGCTTGTCAGGACTCGGCCCATTGGTGCTATTGCCAAAACCGTTGCTGGCCGTTTGCTGCGGCCGATGGCGAGTGGGAGCGCTGTTCGTTAATGCGCTCCAATCGCAAAGTCTGTCATTCGCTAGAGAATCGCTCATCCGGCAAACCATGGACATCGGCTCAGACTCCATTAATTTTACCGAAGCATGGCTCAAAGTTCATTCTGATAGTCTTAAAGGACGTAGAGTTGACGCAAAAGAGATGAAAACGAAACCAACAAAATATAAATAAAGCTGAGCAAACTCCTCAACTCACACAGAATATCAAGGCTGTGATTTGGTGAGAAACCTTGGTGAACTGCGAACACTCCGGCTCCTGCGAGAGCAGCAGAAGCGTATCGCCAACGTGCCCATCTGTTCTCATGACCAGACTTGAAACGGCAGCGTCGAGTAAGCGTTAAAAAATTCCTGTACAGAATGCGCCTCATGAAGTCTGAAAGTGACACACCAATGCAATCAGGAGCACGAAAAAAGATACATAACACGACTATACTAACACAAAACAATTTCGATTACATTAATTAGAAAACTCGTGAAATAGAACAGAAGGAATAGCTCCTTCAGAGGCCAACACAAGAGAAGTTGCAGAAGAAATGTTCTAGGTTTCCATAAATCCACTTAATGTGTTTGGTTCCCCAGGACAGGAAGCGACGTTTCCGCTTTCGCTTTTCCGCTGCAGGATCCTCAGGTCCAGCACTTATAAGGAGTGCACCTGGGTTCTTGCAACGAAGTTTCGCGCACGAAAAACGAAAGATTTGCTTTCTGTCCAAGCGGACCACACCTTTCAATATAAGCACCCCTGTCGTCCCAACATGGACCATTTCAAGAAAAATCAAAAAAGGACTTCTTCATTACGGGTATTCTGGGAAAGAAATAAGTCCACGGAGTGCGAAGATCTCAGGTTTTGAGCCTGAAACCTCCGTATACAACGAGGAGAAATGGACACGATCAAATGTGGCATTAGCAAGTGAATTTCAATGCAGGCAAGCAATGTATTTCCCACAGGCAGGAGCAACGAAGTCACATTCAATCCACATGATGTTGTGAGGTGTCAGGACACATATAGATGGTCGTCCGAGCGTAACGACTGCACAGCATTCGACGTTCATTCGACAAATTTCTCTACACCAACCATATGTTCATCATAAACGCTCTCAACCTGCACGCCAAAAATAGGGTTTAACCATATAGCGTTCGAACAAGATCTGCTCCTCAGCGTACACCCCTTGCAATGGCACCTAAGGAGTCAGCAAGCAGCACTCGCGGCTAAAAGTACAACAGAAAAAACTCTGGACGAGTTTTCTGGACGAGTTTTTCGCGCCATTACGGTTTGAATTTCAGGCTAGTCGCTCGCATCGCTTGAGCGATCCGTCGCTCCTGCAATTGGTGCAAAATCGCTCCAATCGCAAAGTCTGACATCGGCCAGTGAGGTCTACTTTTCGCCGAAAAGGGAACCGGCGCTGTTTACCTCGCTGCGAAAGTGGTATGTTGATAGAGCATCCAAGATGAGCTAGGATACGAGAATTTTCGCCCAAGTTTAGAGAAGGTAAGAGAGTTAGAAAAGTAACGAAATCCGTGGCATTTCCTAGCTTAGGTGGAGTTTTGCAAAGTTGGAATTCCTGCTGTGTGCCTTAATTATTGCACCAAAATCTCGTCATCAGGTAAACAACGCCCACACAGTCCATATCTTACCGTCCGATGAGGCGTCTGAGAATTTGAGGTGGTGGCGGTCGCGCTTGACTTGTCGTGTGGATAAACTCTTTTCCAGCATGCTTTGCTGAGTTCCAGCAAATTATATTGGAAAAAGACTCATCCACGTCTTTTATCAAAGGCGGCGGCCGCTACGTTAAATCCGTAGATCCGCCTAATCAGACGGCGAACATGGGCTATGAAACTTTTGACGGGTTTTCCGTTTCTTTTCACAACAACGAATAAGTGCCTAAGGCCACATTCAAAGTTCACGACTTCGGAGATTAGGATAGCAGGCGACAGGATATCAGGATGAAGGAGATGATGGCTCATGGCCTCTGGGGGGGGGGGGGTCAAAACAGGCCGATGGTAAATGGCACTAGAAGTAAGCCCAGGAGATGGGGACTGCCAGGGAACACAAATGGCTGACATCCTACCCCAGAATCCTTTCCCTCCCTGGGAACGTTCTCATAGTCGGTCCGATCGTTAGTCACAACGTCCGACGATTGGTACTTACTTAATGTCGTGCGCTCGTTACGATCGGAGGACCGACAATGATAGCGCCCTAAGGCTAAGTCTCAACGACTATAACTGGCTCACTCACGATCAGTTGGAGCTGTATGCTGAATGTTGGGGATGGGACGGGGATGGGGAAACGTTGGGGAGGTTCGTCGCAGGACCCACTTTGCAACGGTCGCACCTTTGATTTTGCAGCTTTGTTTCCATCCTTTTACTGTTTCTGATTGTATATTCGCTCGTAAATACCTTTCTTATCCCAAAAACAGCGATGAAAGAATGGAAACAAAGCTGCAAAATCAAAGGTGCGGCCGTTGCCCAGTGGGTCCTGCGACGAACCTCCCCAACCTTTCCCCATTTCCGTCCCATCCTCAACATTCGATATACGGCCCTTGGATGTCTCCCCCAACAACCATGGGAGCCGATATTCAGCTGCTAGAGACTGGTACGTATTGATTAGGATAGCAGGAGATTAGTAGATTAGGCGTCTTTAGTCGAGTCAGTCAATCCGTATGGGAACAATTCAGCGCAATCCCCTAATCTACTACTACTCTGATCTATCTACTGATCTTCTACTATCTTGCTATCCTGATCTCGTAATCTATGACTCTCCAACGATTCCAATAGCATCTAATCCTTCTAATATAATATCCTGTTCTCGTGCTATCCTAATCTACTGATATTCTAATCTCACAATCAATACGTCTTTTCCTTGGCGTTCTCAGTAAACTACGCTGACGCGCCCTCTCTCAACAATAAAGAGTTCAAGCCTCAATGGGATCTTGCCAAGTCTCGGGTCTGTTCCAGTTAGGGGTGCATCATGATGCAGTTTCTCGGTGAACAGTGTGAACTCGAAAACTCCTCATCCACGCATTCAAATACGCCCTCACCCCTTCCCGTAACTGGCTACACCCACCGGCTCAGAGTTACGGCGCAATTACCCGGGAGGGGAGCGCACTTGCCGCGCGCGGCGTTGCGCACAGAGAATCGTGAGCCAGGGAGAAATGTAGCAATCAGGGGGGGTAGGTCATCACCTAGCAGCGTGAGAAGCCGGAATGTCCGAGTTATACTAGGTCGGTGAGCCGCGCGCGGCGACGGCCCTCTCCCCCCAAGCCACATTGCGCCAGAGTTACTCTAGCTTTCTGGAAAAAAGATCATCATGATGCCCGGGTGTGGTTCACTACAGAAAGCGGCTTTTTCGCGATTTCGCCAGACCCACTTATCTACGACGAATAAAACCCAGTGCACCGCTGGATTTAATCAGTGACAAAATTCCCACAGGCGAATCATACATCGGACCTGAGATTCCCGCAACGAACGCATTGTCGCTTACACCCTATCCATAAGGGCATTCATGGCAAGCTTTTTGGCGACCTAGCGAGGAACTCAATACAGCTTTTTCACACGCTGCAAGTAACTAGTCGCTGCAAAAATAATAAAAAAGATAAAAGGATAAAGCATTTGCCGTTGATCAATCCCTTTTTCTGGGATGCGGCACGCATTCTACTTCCATTTGTACATTCGCAGTGGCTTTTGAAGGCGATGTGGCCTATACAATGACTTGCGGGGGCCAGCCGATGTACATACATGAAGTAATCCTCCAGCAATCTGCGTACCAATTAACCCGCCGCCGGAGGATGGAGCGCTGGTTAGCCCGGGCGAATGAGTAACCCCACCCAGGATTTGATCCCGCCGGGCTCGCTGGAACCGCCAACTTGTGCACACTACCACTTCCGCCCCACGCTACCAGCGGGTCCTTGAGATCAACACCTGGGATATCGACCGGCAGACTAAAAGCCTTCCATCCCTCCGGGGTCGGTTAATTGGTACCAGACTTGTCTGGGAGGATAAAAACACTGACTTGAACATCGGCTGGCCCCCGCAAGTCATTGTATAGGCCACATCGCATTCAAACGCCACTACGAATGTACAAATGGAAGAGCTGCGTGCCGCATCCCAAGACGGGATTGATCAACGGCAGAAGCTTTATCCTTTATCCGCCTGAAAAATACACCCTGAAAAATGCCAGACGAGTTTTCCTGGCATGCTGCCCACTTTTGAACCTATTTCGTTGCGGGACCATGCTCCTCCCTTTACCACCAATTGATTCTGGCACTTCCTAGACCATTGGGTTCAGTCCGGTATGCTTAGTCCGGTAAGATGAGTCACCAAGAAAAAGCGTAGAAACTGGGCGCAACTGGAAGAGTGGGAGGGGTGGCGGTGGACATCAGGGGGGGGGGGGGGGGAGGAGGGGGGGGGGGGGGGGTACAGCGACAGGTTCACGAAAATCTCAACTTGGGACTAAGCTTAGAGACCAGAGAAAACGAGCCGGTAGTAAAATTTCATCGCTCTGGGGAAATATCCCTGTGTAGGCTTAGACTAACGGTATTCGACGCCCTCCCTCGAGCACATTGCGCGACAGTGGCTTATACATATATGTCACATGTATTCTTTCAAATCATTTATAATGGGATAGCAGGGCATAGCGTCGAGATACACTTCATAAGCGATTCATACCGAATCGAGCATTAAGCACTTAGATTACATGTTTGAGTATCAAGACGTCAGCCCACGCCATAGGTCAAATTTTAACCCCGTCAATTTGGTCCTTGGACCGGGAGGGTAGTTTTGTCGGACAGGCTACAAGACTAGCTAACGCAGAGGGACGAATTTCGGAGCGATTGAAAATGGCTTACGCAGCGAAGTTGCTTACGCAGCAAAAATTCCCTCTTCTCCTACAAAGCTTAGCCCCAAAACTGAGCAAATCCGTGAATTTGACGCCAAGTTTTCGGCTGCCCCCCCCGGAGCCACATTGCGCCCGGTTCATTTATGACTCGACCATTTGGACAAGATGATTATCAAATGCTCCGTAATCACATTCTCGGCAAAGTGATTTCCTATGTGGAACAAAAGCAACCCTTGTAGAAAAAGTGTCCTTACTTCCGTGAATCGTCGTCGACGCTGATCAGTGGAGTCATTCGTTGTTGATGCCGCGATTAAGCCTACTACATTCCCTTTTGGTTCATTTAGAAGTGAGCTCCGAGCTGTTCGCAATCGTTACTTCATCATACAATATGTGCGTCACATGAAAAAAGGACTTCATTCAACAGTCACAAATGGCTTGGTGGGACCCAATAGTTGACATTAACCTGACTACTCACACGACTTTGCCTCACTTTGAGACTGAACGGTTAGAAACAATCCTTCCATATCTCCAGCCTAAAACTGCAGCCCGAAGAAGCGCAAAACCAAATGATGTTCAAGGGTGGATGCAGCATGGTCCCACAACGAACTAATTCAAACAGTGGGCAGCTTGCCAAAAAACTCGTCCGGCATTTTTTCAGGGTGTAGGTTTAGGCGACAGTGTCAAGTGATTGGCCTCTCCCCACCCTCTAGACTGGCTACACTCCCCTGGCTCGGAGTTACCCTAGCTTTCTGGAAAAACTGCGTCATGATGCCCCCCTAACTGATAGACTCTGTTGGTGCTCCTGTGCACGGATGCCTCTCCTACTTTCCTATCGCAATGATACGGTCAGTAGAGACTTAGGATCTATTCCAGTCAAAGGGGGTGTGGTTCACTAGGACAGAAAGCGACATTGGTGAAACCCGGGTTCGGGGGGGGGGGGGCAGCGATGGCGCGGCGCTGTTTTCGTCTGCTCTACCAAGGCTTAGTCACCGATGGCGCGTATTTTGAAACTGCCACATAATGGCGAAAGAGTAACTGTCCCTGTGGACTAAGCCTTGCGGACAGAGCACCGCGCCATCGTCGAACCACCTATAATATACATATGGACTTCGTGTCGAAGACCAACCCATTTTATTACCCTGGCACATACGTAACATGGCATGTCTGTTCACGCGGTCGACAACGCATCTCCTCACCAGACGCTTCCGATCTTATATGATATTTTATAAAGTAACGCAACGCAGCGCATCTTACAATCTATTACAGTCCGGCAGACTCTTACAGCAGAGCTCTACCCTATCCAGGCTCCGTAAAGGAAAGTTGGCCGTTTTACGATATATTCAATGCTCTATGGCATATGTTCTGGCTAGGCGTTTTTCGACGGACTCGCTACTGTAAGCATACATCTAGAAGCACCGTTTCATTGCTCCTATCTAATACGCAACAGACACCAGGACTTTGCAATTATTAGAGGGTTTAACTCCACTAATAATATCGCCCCACCTTACAAGCACAACATGCCCTCCAGTTATACCACCTTGGCGACGAAATTACTTGTTGACACCACAAACAGTCATGCACCAGAACAAATCATTCACCGAGGTTCAACATAGAGGGTTTATTGAGAAGACTGCCAATTCTATACGTAGTCGAACGATCCGGACAAAAAAACGGGTCGGATATTTACGCCTTGAGGAAAGATATGCAAGACAGAAAACGGCCAGCATGGTCGCCAGCACCTGGCCGCGAAAGATTTTTTCGGCAACGACCCTCCTTTATCGCAGTTCGCAGGCCGAAACAAAGCTGTATCATTAAACTATGCCATTACCTTGAAACTGAAATTCAGATGGCGCACAACATTTGCGTACGGATACTCTTAATCTGTTCTGAAGCACATTTGATCCCATCAAAAGTTTCACGTAATTTTTACTGAAGTATAATGTTCGAAATCCAGCGATCACTATCGCCAATTTCGAGGCTATCGCCATCCCTATACAAGCTCTCCAAACTATAACTTCATGGCTTATTTTTTGCAAATGCATGGCCAAACGAATAATTTATATCATAAGCTGATTCCGCTTCTTTCTGCCCTAATTCGAGGTAGAAGAAGAAAATCGTGAGGATTGGCTTGGTGAGCATGCTGCATTCAAGGCTTTCAAAAAGTGGGACCAGTCCCTATTGAGCAAAGCTTACCGCGGATTTGGATAGAGCAAGAAACGCACTTTCTAATGATATGCAACTCGCAGCAGTCTGCCGGAAAGTTTGCTAGAAATAATGTCATGAAACTTGTACTGTCGAAAACGGCCAGAACTTTCCTTACAACCTAACATAATCCTTCGTTATGGGCACCATTGTGTAGGTAGAGGCCTAGGCTGTGGAGTACCAGAAGCTGGCCGAGGCAGCTCGTCAAGAGCCCTCGTACCGCGACAATATTCATTTCTTTCATGACATTGCGAATCACCATGATCCGAAATGAGCCCGGTAAGAAATTCTGGAGTTGCGGCAAGATTTCTTTCCTCTCTTAGCGTAATCCCCTGGTCGAGCTGTAAATGCCTGCAACCTATCCTGGACCTTTAATCATCATCTTGATAACGAAATAATTAGACGATCAACTCCAACTCGGAAGTGAGGTCGCCTCCTTTCTTGACCCGCACTCCGCTGGGTTTTGGAAAAGGGTGCATCAGGAAATTTTCTGAGCGTTGAAGACAAGTGGTGGACACTCATGATAGATATATGACCGGTCAGGAGTTGTAAACAAAAAAGATAGAATTGAAATCAAAAAATTGAAAAAGTGTCGCAGGACTTTCTTCCAACCTAATACAAGTTTGGCCTTGTTCAAAGAGTTCAGCCCATGCATAGGTCAGATTTTGACTCCGTCATTTCGGTTACGGTTCGTGGCGCGATGTGCCTTTGGAGGGGGGGGAGGGAGGGGTAGTCTGTCGGAAGGCTACAAGGACTAGGCCTAACGCAGAGGGACGAATTTCGGAGCGATTGAAAATTGCTTACGCAGCGAAGTTGCTTACGCAGCAAAAATTCCCTCTTCTCCTACGAAGCTTAGCCCAAAC